TCTTAGGTTGATGAACCCCGTGGCTACACAATCAAGTGCACAGCAGCCACCAACATCGGACATGATAACAAAAGATCATGGGGTTGTGTCTGGAGGAATAGATTCTCAGGGTCGACGCAGTGTTCAGCGAGACCATGTCATTGTAGAGATGCCAGAATGTGGCCCGATCCAGAATGGGGAAATTGATACAGTTGTCTCACCCGTTGATTGTCAAAGTGGGACTCATTCATTTACTCATCAGCACGATCCCACCTCTTCCGAGGGTATGAGAGCAGAGGAATGCAACACTGTGAGCAGCCCATGTGAGCCCAGGCGGTCCGGAAGACAGAGGCATCCCCCATCTAAGTTCACCTAAGATGAGCTGGGGAAACCTGATTCTTGCTCTTGCCTCCTTCTTTGAACAGTTGCAAGCTACCATTTCACCCGCTGAGTTTAATACTCCTATGGAGTATCAATTGCGTGCAGGAACGCATCCAATCTAGAGGGGGAGAGTGTAACCAGGTTAGTTCAGCGCTACCAAGTTTGGCCTCAAGGGGGCAGCAGATGATCAATTTTAAATTCAGGATGGACACGCTCTCAGACGCCATCTTGGATTATCGATCTGTCGGCAGCTGATAGCAAAGCAGAAGTCAGAAAACTTGAGCTGAGCACGGCGAACCTTTGTGACGCTGTATGAATCCATCCATCCAACCATCCATCCATTGGATTATTTTGATTGATAAACCAAGGACTTAAGCTTTGTGACTTGAACTTGGATTTCTTTTTTTCCTTCATCAGGGGTGGACCTTTAAAGCGCCCGAGCGCCAATGGCGCTAAATTTTGTCGTCGGGCGGTAAATACTTGACGACTTACCGCCCGGGTGGCGCCCAAGCCTTATTTGTCATTTACACACCGGCTTTCACCTACATCATGGCCCCGCCCTGTAGGAAGCCGCAGTTTTCGTTTCGCGCGCGTAAACCTGCGCGCCTCTAGCCACGTACTGCACTTGTACGATTCGTGCACGTACTGCACGATTCTAGTTATAGTCACGTGAACTATAAGTTCACTATTAAAGACGAAGTGGAACCACGCTAGAAACACACAAGCACGCAAGAAGATCGCGCCACCACAGGGATGGGATTTCTTGATGAAATCTCCGGGCAAAACGCTTTAAAACTGGTGAGGAGAAGCGAGACAGTTCGAAACGGTATGAAGCAGAGAAGCGTGTGCGTAGGTGGAATGATTCTTGGCAGTTTAAAGAAGATGGGAGGCGCAGAGAATGGCCGTGTTCGAGTTGAGCAGCGCCTCGCCTGTGAAACAGACGAGAGCAGACGAGAGCAGCAGGGGGAGTGGCTGAAAGCCGGCGTTTAACGCCGGGGACACACCGGCCGCGGAAGCGCCCGAAGTGCCGAGAAGCGAATCGCTCACGGAGTTTGGCCGCTGCTCGCTGCTCCTCAGTTCAGATCAGACGCGCCCCATTGGAGGCGCGCCTCGGCCCAGCTGTAGTTTTTCTTTTAACTACTTGGTGTCCTCCATTTCCCCTCTGCCTTTTCTCAGCTCTTTTCCTCTACGTGTGTGTGCGTGCGTGCGTGCGTGTGTGTGTGTGTGTGAGAGAGAGAGGGAGGGAGAGAGAGAGAGAGAGAGAACCTATGGTGTGAACCAGTTGTTTCTGCCAGTTGAATCTCTTGGATTTGCCTGCATGTGTAGCTCGTGGGTGACGATGGCTGAAGATATCGTGTTAGCATTCACACTTGTTCAATTTTCAATTTTAATTCTGGTGCCTGTTAGCAGCTGAAACACACCCTCACGTGGTTGTGGATATCATATATTGTATATGAAGACATGACAGGAATAATAAGTAAAGGTTATCAGCTGTAGCTTTAGTGTGCTCATAGGAAACGTGACAAAAGTACACAAAACACATTTCTCTTTATGGCCTATATAGTTGTCATCATCAACATAACATGATTTACAGAATACATGTGACCATCTAACATTTCATGTTCTACCACCGGATGTTTGGATCCAAATATGAACCAATCAGATCTTAGATCCTGGCTGGTTTTTCCTTTGCCAGGCGTTTCCCGTCATCTAGGTTTTGCAGCCGAGGGAGAGCAACTGCAGCACCTTGCTCCAAAATCTGCGGCCGCCTTGATCTCACAAGGTTATTCGTTGCCTACTTATGCATGACGTCAGAGCAAGTCGGCGTCAATTGGGACACAAATCTAACCGGCATGCACCGCTCGCCGATCACTGCTGGTCTAATCTGCGCAGAACTGGCTCATCTCGAACACAGTCAATGGCTCGAGTACAGCGGAGTTGGTGATGTACTGCGTTATATGCCGTAAATATGCGACAACAAAATCGTGTTTTGTTGAGGGAACAAACAAATTCAAACTTGAATACGTTATTATGTTTGTGAATGTGTACAAAATAAAGGTTTATTACATTTAAAACGGTTCAGTTGTTATTTTGACTCGTTTTGGCAGCTGACCAGCGGGGCCGGTAGATTCTTGGCGGGGCCGGTAAATATTCAGAGTTACCGGCCCGGCTGGCCGGTTGGTTTTGAAGTTAATGTTCACCCCTGTTCATACCTGTTATCCTGGCTGGTTTTTCCTTTGGAGGGGTTAGTTGGAGAGTGCCTCACCTGCTGCCGTCTGCTTCAACAGCGACTGGATTGCCCATCCCGGACCGTTTTCTTTTTTTTTGGACATACTCGGTTGAGAGGGCGGTAGGGCTTGAGTGCACTCTTATTTTGAACTTTTGGACATTGGGGTTTATATTATTTCATTCCTGAGATCTCAGGAATTTTTGTTCTTATACTGTTGAGTTATCTGTGTATAAAAGAAAAAAAAACTGATGGACATTTAAGTTGTTTATGGGTGACTATCTTCAATACATTTTATATTATTGCTAGTTCTTTGTCATGTGTGTTATTTGGGTGGATGTCTAACCATTGCTTGGGTAAATAAGTTACAAACTCCTCATTGAACCTAGAATAGATATTCCTTTCATGTTGCTGTGTTGCATAACCACAGCGTAGGGGTTACACATCCTCACAGTAATCAAAAGTTGTGAGACTGCAATGGTTTCGAGCTACTTATCAAACATAGGATCTGGTTAATAACTTTACAGTCTGAAGCTCAGCTCTTTTGTACCGAGGCAGGTCACAGCACACTCCTCATTGGTTTTTCTGTAAAAGAAAGCCTTTGTTTGTCAGGTATTTTGGCAGGCCAGAGTGTTCACTCACAGAGGAAAAGTTCTTCAGCTGATGAAGACTTTTGTTGCGGAGAATCGGGTTCACTGATTTACTTACAGTCCCTATGGGGATCGGGAGATAGCCTGGAACAATCTGACCCATCAGATAAGGCACTTTCAGCATTGCCAATTCAACAATAATACAAAAACCGTTGCTAATAAAATTAATTAAAACAAGTAATATGTTTGACTGTTTTAATTCAAATGTAAATTACAAGCAAACCTTATTGATTTTTTCAACTAAAGCAAAATGATTCCAATAAAATAAAATTGTGTTTAAAAAAGAGCAGAAATTATATAAAAAATAAACCTAATTAAAGCTGCAAGCAGTGTCGTTCAGCCCTCGCAGCGACGCTGCTCGCCCTCCGTCCGCACCCCCTCCACTCCACCCCCGACGCTCTCCCAACCCATCGCCCTGCAACCAGTGGCGCACGAGCAGCCTTGCGTGCCAGACACCCCAACATGCATTTAACTGCGATCACTGTGAGCTGTCACTTCAATCTGACTCAACCTTTCCTAAAAGCCTGCCAACAGTCACCACAAAAAATGTTTTACATTAGCAAAATATTCCATCTTCGAAAGAGACTCTGTAACGTAATTGGAAGAAAATGGCTGACTTCCTGTGGGATATGGAGCATGGCTCCATGAGATTTCTTTGTAGCCCCAGGCACACTACATAAGTGTGCAAAATTTTACAATCCTCAGTCAAAGCATGACTTGGCACTGAGAGTTTTAATGGTCATAGGGGGCGCTATTTCAGAAAAAGGCCACGCCCACCAGCTTATGACATCTATTTATATTGGGGTCAAACTAGGATCACTCACCAGAAATCTTTTGGTGATGTCATGAGAACTGAAGAAATGAGAAGCAAACGTATTTCCATAGCGGGATGGCGAATTTCGCCATGCTCCCAGGGCCCTGCCCTTTTTTGAAACCTGCCAGTACTAGATACCAAGTGACCCCAACTTGTGTATTGCTATTTGGCAGAGATTGCTGTTGAACAGATGAAAGTAGTCCAACAGGGAGCTCTGAAAGTATAGGCATGGTGTGGTGACATGTCAATGTTTGAGGCTTAGCCACACCACCACCGTTAGACCTTTGGAAAATTTGTAGGTTCAGTTTTTCCCGCTTTGTCTTAAGAGGATTTAGCAGAAGTATGAAGGTGATGGGGGTAAAGGTATGGAGCTAGGATTGGGACAATATTCAGCGTAACTTGTACCAAGTTTTGTAACTTCGAACATGTTTCATCACATGTAACTTTGGATTCGTAACTTGTAACTTTAGTTTTCTAACTTGTAATTCTCAATTTGTACTTGTATTTCTTGTTTTGTAACAGGAACATTGTATTTTGTACATGTATTTTTTATTTTGTAAAATCAAACTTTTATTTTGTACATGGCATGATGTCAAAATTCGCCACTCCCCCAAGGCCTTGCCCTTTTTTGAAACCTGTCCGTACTGGACACCAAGTGACCCCAACATGTCTACTGCTATTTGCCAGAGTCATGTTGATTAGGTTAAATGAGTCAATTTGGGAGCTTTGACAGTAAAGCATGGTGTAGTGACAGGTCAATGTTTGAGGCCTAGCCACGCCCACCTCATTAGACTTTTGGAAAATCCATAGGTTCAGTTTTTCCCGCTTGGTCTTAAGAGTTTTCAGCAGAAGTATGAAAGCGATGGGGAAAAGGGCGCTTGGAGATTGGCGTAACTTTGAAGTGTGCAAAAAAAAAAAAAAAATGGCGTATTTGGACCAAAATGGCCGACTTCCTGTGGGATATTGAGCATGACTTCAAGAGAGTTTTTTGTAGGGCCTGAGACACTACATAAGTGTACCAAATTTCACAATCCTCAGTCAAAGCATGGCTTGGGGCTGACTTTGTTATCAGACCTAGGGGGCGCTATTGAAAAAACTAAGCCACGCCCACCAGATTTTCAGGGTAATATTTATTAAAGTTTGGATTTGTATCAATAATCTGAATTGTTGTACCGATAACATCAGAATTGAGGGAATGAGAGGCAAACGTAATTTCATGGCGTGATGTCAAAATTCGCCATGCCCCCAATGCCTCGTCCTTTTTTGAAACCTGCCAGTACTGCACACCAAAGCCCCCTTCAGACAGGCCATGAAAAACGGAAATGTTCAGGACTCTGTCCTTAAGACCTTTGTTTCTGAATACAGACATCCGGATAAACTTTTCCGTAATTAAACCGGACGAAGCCCCTAGTAACAAGACCGGACTTGTCACGGACAGGGTGGCTGCTTCAGACTGGTGAGGTCAAGTTCTGGAGAGGGAGGAGGGGGAGGAGGAGGGGACCGGGGGATGCTGTGCGCACCTAGATAGCTCGCTCCTGTGGCATGCGGCGAACTATGGCAGCTCGCCTCCTACGGTACAGTCTTCTAGACGTGTGACGGAGCGCTTCACACCACTTCCTTGATTCCTTTAACCATTGAGTAGGGCTGGGGGTAAACGATTATTTTTAAAACGATTATTCTGACGATTATTTTATCGAATAGTCGACGATTCTAATGACTATTTAGGCAATTAATCTAATGATTATTTTTCTATTGCACAGTTAATAAAAACCAAAAAATCTCTAATAAATTCCTCAAAAAAATTGATAAATTGTTACTGTAAGAGAATAAACACTACGGGCCTTCCACTTTGTATAACACTGCTTTTATTGTGTTGGTTGGTTGGCTCGTGTGCAAAAAGGAAGGGACAATAACGGGATTTAACAGTTAAAATGATGATCAGGTTTATTTACAACTACAAAAAAACAAATATTTCCATCCACAGGTTGGGAATAATAAAACTAATTCTGCCTGTGGGGAATTAAAACAAAAGTACAAATAAGTAGGGATGTCCCACTGGGCAAAGATTACAGGGTTCTGGACCAGAATAAGAATCTCCAAAGGTCCAACTCTAAACTGGGTGGTTAAACCAAAATCAAGGTGATATTTTAAACTAAACCGAAAACCCACGACACTCTAAATGTAATAAAAGGGAGATTTGCACCACAAAAAAGATGAACTCTAAACCAAAACGTAACAGCTTATCCACACGCAAAAAGCTGTTAGCGAAAATGCTAACAGTAGCTTTACCAAAGTTAAGTTCAAGTTACCAAGTTTAAATAAACCAAAATACACCCAGCAGCAAGCAGACCAGCGCGGAGGAGAGACTGCTACCACCAAAACAGCTCTCCTAATGTCTGAAAGACGCTCCTTTATGAAGGGAGAAATGCTCCCGGTGATTTTCTACATCTGCGGTAGAGACGGAGCAGCACATCTGACCCCGGAAGTTGTTGTCTGTTGCCGGGAGACGAAGGTGGGCAAAACAGGAAAGGAATCTAGTAGCGGACGGACGTTGTTCCGGGTCTTCGGTATTTGGCGGAGATGTTAGTGAAGGTGGAGAGGAGGGCGAACTAGAGGAAAAAAATGCAGATTCCTCTTCTATTTACAAACTCCTGTGGATGCAACAAGTGGGCGTGGTGCGTCGACTACCGGATCTGACGTCGACAAATTTTTAGAATCGAGCAGTCGACGTCATCGAGGCGTCGCTACAGCCCTACCATTGAGCTTCATCATCCAGGTCTCTTATGCGTCTTTGTGTGCGCAGAATTATGCTTAACATAAGTCCGATCAATGAGAGGAATTATATCTCTTTGACGGCCATGTTTGACTGAATGGCTTTGTTTGGGTAAATGACGCATGTACGCCCGCCACACTATCTGGGTACAGCTTTCCCACCCCCTCCCCCTCAGACATCTGGAACTTTTCCCTGCTGTGTGAAAGCAGCCGAAAGGACAAGTTCAAGTACAAAAGTGGTGTGTCTAAAAACACAGTTCTGGTTAAAAACCGGACTGAATTGTCCACACATATTCCAGAATGTCAATCTGAAAGGGGTTCAAGTGACCCCAACATGTCTACTATTTGCCAGAGATTCATGTTGATTAGGGTAAATTAATCAATTTGGGAGCTTTGACAGTAAAACATGGTGTGGTGACAGGACAAAGTTTGAGGCCTAGCCACGCCCACACCGTTAGACTTTTGGAAAATTCATAGGTTCAGTTTTTCCCGCTTTGTCTTAAGAGTATTAAGCAGAAGTTTAAAGGCGATGGGGGAAAAAGGGCGCTTGGGGATTGACGTACCTTTGAAATGTGCAAAAAACACAAAATGGCGTACTTGGAATAAAATGGCCGACTTCCTGTGGGATATTGAGCATGGCTTCAAGAGAGTTTTTTGTAGGTCCTGAGACATTATATAAGTGTGCAAAATTTCACAATCTTCAGTCATGACTTGGGGCTGGCTTTTTTAAGGGTGCTAGGGGGCACTTTTGCAAAAAATTGGCCACGCCTACCAACTTTTGATTTCAAGTTTTACTGCAGATCATACTAGGATCACTCACCAGACATTTCGTGGCGATAGCTTTAGAATTGACTAAATGAGAGGCAATCGTATGGCCATGGCGTTAACGTGCCGGGCTTGTGTGACATCATCAATCGACCATTCATTTTTCTTCGAGGGGCAATGAGGAATGTCCATTTTAAAAGTTTTTTGACTGTAATTCTTTCATTCATGAAATTATAGCCATTGGAATTTTTTTGGCGAGTGCTCGAACTTTGAGGCCTGGCCCCGCCCCTTCAGTATTTACGAAAAGTCAATTTTACTCTCTCATTTCAATTGTCCATCCCTTCTGATCGATCGCACACAATTTCAGAGACGATCGTGCGAAAAATGACCAAACTGTTCAACCAAATATCGACCCTACAAATGACCAAAACGGGGTCAAAATCGCTACTTTAGTCCAAAAGGGCTGACTTCCTGTTTGATATTGACCATGGTTGCGAGAGACTTTTCTGTGCGTATTGTTGAGTTCCACAAGTGTACCAAATTTCATCACTCTACTATAAAAAAAGGTCAAAGCAGAGGGGTATTTTTAATTTTCCAGCAGGCGCTGTCGAGCCACTTTTTAATCAACTTTTACATCGCCATTGAAATACGTACATTTCATGCACTTTCTATATTGGCCCAGAATTTGGTGAGTTTTTGGATATGGTAAGACCCCCTAAAAGCCCTTTGAAGACGCAGAAGAAAATAATAAAAATAAATAAATAAACAGCAGAAACATAGGCCTTCGCAGCTTCACTGCTCAGGCCCAATTAAAAAACTACTCTAATGATCGAAAAATTATTCAGCCGGGGCTGCAGAGCAGCTGTATTCCTGAGAATCACAGAGCCATGGCAAAGTGGGTTAAAGGGTAATGGCAAAGGTAAACAGGTTAAACTTTGGGCAACAACCTGTAAAACACCCCCACAGGCTAATCAGAGGCAGCAGAGACTGAAATAATAAAACACTCCCATGAATGAGAGGTTGTGATCCATGATGAGTGAACAAAGGCTCTGTGTGTGTTTATGGAGAGGGGGGTGAGAGCGTCCAAGTGTGCTCGGCAGGTTGGCAGGTCAGAAATGCTGTGGGTGGGGGGTTGCAGAAGCTTGCTGACCTGCTGAGAAAAGCAAACAATCAAAAGGTGCAGGAAATATAGGCTGTAGGGGATGAAGATGCACTTATCACGATTCTTAGTTTGTCCAAATTAGACATGCTGCAATGTTAGAGAAAGCTAAAGAACTTTCTAGACTCATGCATCTCGCATCACTCTGCAAGAAGCTTAACATGAGATGGTTTGCTCCTGACTTTAACGCAGACACACCTACAACCACAGAACACCCTTCAGAGGCGCGGCCACCTTGTGTTTTTGGAACCAGAGCCTGAACTCTAGAGACGTGGACTTGAACGTCCCACCAGCTCACCTGCATGCTGTTTTTTTAATCACCGAAAAACAAATTATAGCTAAAACGTAATAATAAAAACTTGTTTTTGAATGTTCAATAGCAGGTTAGAAAGATGTGAATGTGGTGATAGGAGCCAAATCTTTAAAAACACATTTAATTTTTCTTAACTAGGACATGGAGAGGACTGCACTTGAAACTTATACTGGAACCAGTATGTAAAAAATTGTAGATTTTACAGATCTGGATTATTGGAGTTTGTTTATAACATAGATTCATACAGTAAATGTCATTGGCTTTTAAAATTTAATTTTCTTTACCACTTTTGCTGTAGAGGGCTGTGTGGAGCTGGTGTCTATCTCCTGAGGTCATTTTGGTAGGGGACACCCTGGACAGGTCACCAGGTAAAACAAACACCACAGAGAGACAAATGTCAACCATACTCACTCACTCACTCACTCACTCACTCACTCACTCACTCACTCACTCACTCACTCACTCACTCACTCACACCTTGTGACTAACGTGCTTTCGGCTTTTCTTTAGAGATTTAGTAAGATGGAACCCAGAGATTAAAGAATTATGTTAAATTTCTATGTAAAAAGGGCCAAGCATACTTTAGGATCAAGTCCAGCAAATGCAAGCAGTGTCACACTGTAGAAGAATGAAAAAGAGAAGCCGTCACCATCTGAGACTGTAGGCTGAGGATAAATGTGGGATTTGGGCACCATTTCCAGACAATGACCCAGTCCATCAGTTAGCCAAATGTGGGCGACCTTCAGGACAGCGCAGGGAAAATTAAAGAGCACGACTGAGAAAGGCCAGGCTGTCTGCAGTCTGAGTTCTTTAAAAGAAGAATAAAGAAAAGCTGAGAGATGTTGGTGAGAGGAATCGCACCGATTTCTGTGGTGCTTAGTGAACTCACTTCAGTGTTTCCTCAGGAAACACAGGAAGGAACTGAGCTCGTGTTGACCTCGTGATCAGGCTTTAGATGAAGTGTTAATTGAGTCCTGTGAAGGATGACTTTCCAAAATAAGTTTTTTAGTTCAGGATAACCTCTTTGCTCCAAATGCTCTCTCGTCACACGCCAACAGTCTGTACTTCTGTACTTTGTGTCCTGCGAGCATAATCACACAACAGCTCTATGGGTACAGGACCAGCAGTTTTGATTAAAAACGGAGCTTAGTGAAAACGGCTGAGGGAGCATTTCCAAAAGCTCAACCCTGAATCTGGAGCACTTCTTTTGAGTCAGCATTCTTAGAAACTGGAGTGAAGTCTTAAAATGAATTAAGAGTCAGATCAGACCTTGAGCGTTTTCAGTTATCGCTTCATCACCTCATGCATATTTACTCATTTACATAAAGTCTAAAGAGAAAATGCATTTAAATTATAGGTCATAATGTGTGGTTTGAGTGTAGTGAAAACACTTTCAGCAGCAGCATAAAGGAGATTTTAAACTACAAACACTTTTCCTATAGAGCAGGGGTGGGCAATTATTTTTTCCATGGGGCCACATGAGAAATAGAAAATATTGTGGAGGGCCAGGCCAAAAGGCTGAAGTCAATTATGCATAATATTAATGGTATTTCTTTATAAAAAGCAGTAAATACCATCGTTTTTTCAAGCTGGTAAGAGTAGACTATATGTTATGAATGAGCAAAAAGGAAAAAGTGAGGTTGTCTTACAAAAATGTGATTTATTCAAATTTCCCAAGGCAATGGTAAACAAAGTGTGCACATTTGGTTTTTGTTAAACATTTGTGACTTATATTAGTTAACAGTTTCAGTCACATTCACTCCAAAACACATTCTGAGTTTCAAATATTGTTGGAAAGAGGTTCTTAGCATTCTACAGACACGCAGTATTGTCTGTAAAATAAAATCACTGAACTGTGATCTTGAGAAAGAGGTTTAAAAAAAAGTGTCCCAGTTCACTGCTAGTTGCCTACATTTGTGGTCCAAACACCTTATTTTGTGTTTTTAAGCAATTTTTTTCTTATTCATTGAGAGAAATCTAGTCTCTGCTGGGCTTTAACGAGTGCATCAAAGTCAGGTTGAATGTCTGAGGTGGAGATGCGAAGCACAGCTGACACATGATCATCAGTGAGAGAGGATCTTTACCTGGATTTTGTAAACTTAATCATTGAAAATGCTTGTTCACAAATTTAGGTAGAGCCGAAGAGAACCAACATCTTCTGAGCACGTCTCCTCAGGTTTGGAAAGTCCTCCTTAAGAGAAGAGTAGAAATCCAGCAGAGATCCTGAATCTCTGCTTTCGAGTCCCAAACCCTCTTCAGCACTTTCCCCAGGCTGAGCCATCTGACAGCTGTGTGGAGTCCTCCAAAAGAGCCACAAACTGTCTGTGATTCATCGCCCGCGCCCTGATGAAGTTTATTATTTTAGTAACAACATCAGTAACATGGTTGATTTTTAGCACTGACTTGCACAACACATGTTGGTGTATAATACAATGCAAAAACACCTATTTTTGATCTGCATCGATTTCTGTCACTTTATCTTGCATGCGTTTCAAAAGTCCGACATTTTTCCCTGTAAGATTTGGACAACCGTCTGTTGTGACACCTGACAGTCTCTCCCCTTTCAATCCCAGAGTGTCCGTGCACGCATTTACCTCTGTAAAAAGATCACTCCCTGTCGTTGTCCCTTTCATCGACTGCATTGCTGCCAGCTCCTCTGTGAGCTTGAAGTCCGTTATCCCCCAGACAAATACGAGCAGCTGGGCTGTGTCCCGGACATCACAGCTCCCGTCTAATGAGAAAAAGTCAAAACTTGCCACTTCACGTTGCAGCTGAAGCTCCAGGTTCCCCGCAATGTCCTCGATCCTCCTGGTCACGGTTCGCCTGGACAGCGGGATTTGCTCAAATGCGCCTTTTATTTCAGGGCATATTAGTGCGGCAGAGTCCTCCATGCACTCTGACAAACTCTCCCTCCGAAAACGGCTTGCTGTTTTTAGCTATTTTGTGGGATATCACAAAGCTGGTCCTGGTTGCTGCATCCCTGGATGTGTGAAGCTTAGTAAAACAGCCTTGCTGCTTTTGCAACTTTGCTAGCAAAGCTTCAGATGTCCGTGCCCTCTCAGCATCAGATGAGTTCTTGTATTTTTCCGAGTGTTTCTTGTCGTAATGCCGACTCAAATTGTAGTCCTTAAACACGGCAATCTCCTCCCCGCAAACCAAACACACGGCTTTACCTCCGACTTCAGTAAAAAAAATACTTAGCAGTCCAATTTTTGTTGAAAATCCTGCATTCGGCATCTTTCTTTTTTTTTTCCATGAGCGGACATTTCTCGGGCTACAATCACCATGTCAACCGCGGGCACTTGTGGCTATACGTATTGCGTCATTGTGCACGTAAAAAACAACTTCAAAATAAAAGCAATGCAGCCTTAGCCCATGCATGAGGTAAAATGAGAAAATACATTTATTTTGTAATTTCCAATTAACCTTACGCGGGCCGGTCAAAGTCAACCAAAGGGCCGGATGTGGCCCGCGGGCCGTAAAATGCCCAGGTCTGCTATAGAGGATTGCCGTGAAACAGGTGAGCAAACCCTCACTTAAAGTTCTCGTGTGACCATGAGAGTCCGCTGCTGCCTCCATTTTTAAATTTTAGGCAATTTCTGCTTTTTCTTCAGCAGCTTTGTCTAAGGCAGTCTTTCTTAACCTTGTTGGAGGCACCGAACCCCACCAGTTTCATATGCTCATTCACCGAACCCTTCTTTAGTAAAAAATAAAATATGATTTTTTTTTTTTACTGGTGCACGAAATGAATTGTGCATTAATATCACCTTGTTCAAATAACAAAACCAACACAGTGCATGAACTCAAAACAACTTACCTCAGTGTGACTTCTGCTGTTGCCTTTGAGAGACCAGTTCAGATATGCGTGGCTTCACCTTGGAAAGTGCCAGTCTCATGTCATTTTCACAGCAAAGTCTGTTCCTTTTCTTAGTTTTTATGTCCAGCATCCTCGAAAACGATTGCTCACAAAGATATGTTGTAACAAATGGTACAAAAAAATCCAGGGCTTTCTTAGCAATAACTGGATACTTTTCCATTTGTTGACACCAAAATGTTGAGAGCGTTGTTGTTCTGAAGAGTTGCTGTTGAACCTGGCTCTGCTGAAGTTCAATGATTTCGTCGAGGTATTCATCATTGACATCTGCTGTCTCAATAGCAAACGTGAACGGCTGTCTCACCCATGCTGGATATGATGCTCTTGTTGGGAAGTATCCATCGAGAGACTTCACAAGCTCATCTAAGTGCTTGGCAATTGTTTGCTTCAGTTCCATGGGTACAGATATGTCTCCAAGTCCACACACATCTTCGATCTTACTTACACAGTCGTCCAGAAGGGGGAAGTTTGCGAAGTTGTTGTTCTCTGCTCGTCGTTTCCATAACGGTAACTTTTTTTGAAAAGCCTTCAGGTTTTCTTCTGCTTCCATTATGTTAACTCCACCACCCTGCATCTGCTGATTTAGATGATTGAGAGCTGCGAATATATCAGCCATGTATGCTAAAATGAGAATGAACTCAGAATCTTTGAAGCAATCTGCATGACAATGTTGGTGCTCTTGCAAAAACTGGGCTAATTCCACACGCATGGCAAAAACATGATTCAGCATCTGTCCCCGGGATAACCACCGAACATTGGAATGGTAAAGAAGTACCTCGAATTCAGAGCCCATTTCTTTACACAGCTTACTGAAGATGCGGTGCCTCTTAGCACTATTGCGCACATAGTTCACACATTCCACTACAATTTTTAATACTTCTGCCATTTTGGGCGGCAAGGTTTTGTTGCCAACGCATGCCTGTGCAGAATGCAATGCGTAACAATGATGTGTGGTGCGTCGGCTTTTACTAGCGCGCCAAAACCAGACTTTCTTCCCAGCATCACTGGAGCTCCATCCGTACAAACTGCAGAAACCATATCCCATGAAAGGTTGTTGTTTCTGAAGAAGTCATCCACAAGCTTATTCACATCAGCTGCCTTAGTTGTTGTTGTAAGAGGCTTACAAAATAAAAACTCTTCTTTTATCATGTCGTCTTTCACATAGCGCACAAAAACGGCAAGCTGGCTTAGATTGGAAACGTCGGTGGTCTCGTCGAGTTGAAGGCTGAATTTTGCCGGGCTTGAAATCAGATCCGCGACTACTTGAGCCAAGATGTCTTTACTCATGCACTCTATTCTGTCGCTGATGGTGTCATTTGAAAGAGGAATTTGGGATAATTTACCTTCAGCCGCTGTTCCGAGGATCAGATTCGCCATCTTTAACGCAGCTGGTTTTACGAGTGTTTCGCCAATGGTGTGCGGTTTGCCCTGCTTTGCGATCAGATAAGCAACTTCGTACGATGCTGTGAGGATCGGTTTGTTGATGGGTACAAATCCAAGAGCGGGCAGAGTGGCCTTTTCGTCGAATCTGGCTCTCTTCACCTTGAATTCAGCAAGCGTTGTGTTCTTGTATTCCCCATCTCCACGCAGCTTCAAGAAGTGTTCCTTCAGTTTTGCAGGTGCGAGACTAGAGTTGCTCAACTTGGCATTGCAAATCATGCAGATGGGACGCTGACTCCCGTCACGTTCCGTGATACATGTAAATCCATGTTTTACATATTCGTCCGACCACTTTCTTTTTTTGCCCGACATAGTTAGCATGGATTAAAATATTCCGTAAGAAATCACACGACAAACCGACAGTCACACGTTTTGGCGGTTGGAGGTGGACATGGGGTCGGCGTCACTAACGCTAACCCAACGTCACTGATGCACACCGCTGGTCCCGACTGAGAAGGAGGTCTCACTCTGCTGCTTATCCAGTGCTCTCAAAGCGGACCTGTAGGGAGTCGCATTCAGACACATATACAGCCCATATACAGAGGTCGCATTCTGCTGCATAAACCAGCTACCTCAAAGCGGACCGGTAGGAAATCTCCGAGCAGGACGCATTCAATGACTGTGCCCACTAACTGCAGACTAGACTGAGGGGTGGACCTCTGCGGCAGAGGCTCCACCGAACCCCTGAGACCGACTCACCGAACCCCTAGGGTTCGATCGAACCCAGGTTAAGAACCACTGGTCTAAGGTCTGCATTCCTGTCTGCATCTCGTTAAGCATGCTATCAGGGACACAAATGTTTAGTCACCATGATGGCCCTAATAGTTTCCATAATAGCTTTAAAGAGACAGTGTTTGGTTTTTACTGATAATCTCTAGAAATATCCATCGAAATCATGGTGAAATGATGCTCAGTTGTTGAAAAGTATTGGCGGCTTTGTAACATATAACCATTCATAAACATTGTTGTTTTACACATTTAATTCTTTGCAGTGATGAAAGGCAGTCAGATGTACTCGTTCAAAAATTGCACTCCCAGTCATTTTTGACCCTAATGGCCATCCGTTGATAAAGTCTTACTCAAACACAAAAATACCACTTGCTTGCAACGATTTAGATATGTACTGAAGAAGAAGAAAATATCATTTCTATAGCGCCTCTCAAGATAAAATTCACGAGGCGCTTACTGCCTCCTATCACCAGGGAAAATGCACATTGACTTTAATGGGCCATTGGAAGTAGCTTTAACATTCTTTTTTACACTTGTATTAACCTTATAATTGCAAAACATTACTTTTTTCACAGTTTAGATTTTACCAAAGTGCTTATTGGATTTTTTTGTGTTAGGTACACGACACCAAGAAGAAACTACGGTTGATTTTGTTCATGTCCAGTGCAAAAAAGGCTGAGAGGTATGTTGGTCCACTGATTTGGCAGGTGTTGGTTTTCTCTGTTTATTTAAAACTATTTTAGAAAGTGTCATCAACGTTTATGTAGTTTTCTTGTGAACTCTTAATATTTCAGATGGTAATAATCTTAAAATATCCCTTTCTTTCCTTTGGCTTTGCAAACAAAAATAGCCATACTCTGACCTTTTACTGAGTAGCTGCTGCTTGGGTGGCTTTATTTTTAGTCTAAATGTCCATCTGATGAGCTGGAAAAGGGAGTAGATCCGATACCAGCAGTAAATTCTTGGTTACCCCCCAGTTTCCCTCTTGTTCCTTTATCTCCATCAGCTAAAAACCCTCCATGAGCCTTTGCAGACCCCCCTCCTCCCATCCTCTCTTTATGCTCTGTCTTTAGCCTGAGCGCTATGTTTGGACCCACTTTGACAGAAAATCAAAGGCTGGCTTTGCTGTGTCAACATCTCAGGCAGCAGGAGTATCATTAAAAGGCACGGCCAAGGTTGAAAGAACGAGCCAAAGAGCTAAAAACAGGGATCTTGTGTCAAAGCCATCAGGGCGGCTCTTTTGACTGGACTTTGAGTTATGGTTCACTAAGCTTGGCCTCAAACAAAAAAGCTATTTGTTGAAAATTCTCAGTTCAGAATCGTGACAAACAGACGACAGTAAAAACCCTAAAACTAAACTCAAACAAGTAAAGATGTTTAGAAGCTTTGAAGGTGGATTCAGACTTTTTACTGACACTGTCTCATTTTTTTCTGTGTTGGTCCAACTATTGTATATAGTGTGTTGTTGCATGACCTCTGATTTACATACGTCATAACCCTTTGATAGGGGTTAACTCCAACAGTTGACCCAAACATTATATGTTGCTTTAAAACAATTTGCTAGGACTCTTGCTGGGACCTGGTAGCCTACTCCATATGTTTTATGGATCTGGAGAAGACCTAGATTTAAAGATCCCAGAAGACGTCAGTGAGGATGTTTAAGAAGTAAGTGCTGGATGGCCCTCTGCTAAGGGTCGTTTAGTCCCGGTTTCAAAGGAGTGCATGTTTGTTCCAACGGATCTTTGCAAACATGCACTCCTTTGACACCACATAGTTTGGCCATGATCTAGTTATAGTGTGAGTGTGTGTGACTTCCCCCGAGTCCCCTACCACTGTGACTGGCATTTAAAACCTTCAAAAGAACGTGACCAATTGCTCCCCTGCTTTACCAGGCATGACAGTGAGTTCCTCACCTTATCTATAAGGCTGAGCCTGGGCACTCTGTGGAGAAATCTCATGTATCTGGGATCTCATTCTTTGGGTCATGATCCAAATCGCGTGACCAGAGGTGAGAGACTGAATGTGGAATACCAGTAAATCAAGGGCTTTCCTCACCATGGGAGTCTAGAGCTATGCCCTGATTACTGAAAATGATGTCCTGATATTTTTGGTACATGTCTTATTCTATCCTACCATAAGTCACGAGCAAGACACCAACACACTTTACCTTATGTGGAGAACAGCATCTGAGTTGAAATTCTTGTTTTGGTTAGGACAGCCTCAAAAGGGACCTCGACACATCACGCATACTCATTTATGGGGACAACTTTCTTTTGATGATGGTATGTTTTGTTATTTTCTGTGTCTACTCCTCAGATATTACTGTAATTATACAGTGTTAGGGTTTGGGTGACATGTTTTAAGCACTCTCTGAAGTAACAGAGCAATAAAATCTTCTCTATAAAATCACCCACAGTTTACACAATTTTTTTAATGTGGGACTATTTCTGTTTTGTCTGCCAACATGTGACTGTGGATTTTTCTTAATTGTTCAACCTCAAATAAATTAATTTTATGTGAGACTACAGATGTTACACCACGATCATTATGTTTATGTGTGTGAGATTACCTCTTTGGCAGCCACCCCAAAACATGTATTATTAGATTTTGTTAAAGACCAAGTTTTTTACTTGTTATTTTTGAAATATGATTGGTTAATCTGAGTTTAACACGCAGGCTAAATGCAACAAATGGTCTTCTACCACTATTTCCTGCATTAGTCGCAGGTAGAAAACAGATGTGGTAACGCTTGGATTAGAAAAGCCAGTCAGATCTACGTTACGTTTAATATTAGCATTCATGGACTCACCCATCTTGACAGGGAAAGGCTGGTGCTGGTTTAGCATCCAGGAAACAGCAGAGAATGTCTTAGCTAGTAGAAGCTAACTTTTAGCATTAGTGACTCGACCACACAGCAGAACTCCTTCAGGCTTGTGCTATTTGTGGAGATAAAACATCAACTTTGCAAAGCAAACCAAGTCAGTGGTAGAATTGTGTTGCTGTTAGCCAATTAGAGGCTTGATGTCTGAATAGCTGATGTCTGAACAACTCCAAATCCTGTCATCCTTTGGCTAACTTCTAGTTCCTGAAACAGGAGCATGAGAGCTTTTTTCCGACAGAGATTAGCCGTTTTTACAAAGCAGTGTCGTCAGTTTGATGCAACGCCGTGGCGACAGCCTTAGGTCATTTATAAGTGGTCAGACCGTGGTAATGTTGCATGCTCGTGTTCTCTTTAGAAAAGATTAGGTGGCATAAAGGAGGTATGGGGTCTGTGCGCTGCCGTAGATTTTCGTTTATCTTTGACATAATTAGCTTTTTCTTGCGAGTGAAGTTGCGATTATTACTTTTTTTTTAACAAGTCTCTCCTAAAGGTGCCTGTCCTCCTCCGTCCCCTTGCATTCTTTAGCAATCTGAGCTCCAGCTCCAACGGAGAGAAGCTCCTGGAGCGCTGCATTGTTCTAGTTTGCCATCTAAGCTGATTTTGTGCAAACAGCAAAACGTATGGCCCGTGTTTACTTTCATTTTCAATAAAGTTGCTGGCCGGAGGTCGGCAGTACTCCCCACGTCATCATGACACATGACCTCTGTTGCGCCAAGGTGCAACCCCTGTTTACAAGACAGATAATTACCGCAATATTACTACCAAGCGAGGCGGAACGAATGCCACAAAATTCACGCAACTATTTGCTGGCATGGCGCATTTATAAGAAACACGTTGTGTAATATTACGCTGGTTTGGCTGCACGGTGTGTCATGAAAACGGCTATTGACTCACGAGGCATTCATTTATACTAGAGACCACTACAACAGCTTTTTTTAAAAACCAAGTGACCTTAATAAACTCAGCTGAAACTATTGTCAGGGGCATGCCTTTTCAGTACGAAACGTACTCTAAGCGGCTTCCTCTGTGCATTTTCAGTGTAACAAAATTTCTTAACCCTCCCACTGTCTTTATGCGTGACCCCGCGAGGAAAGTTGACCATTGAGCAGGATTGATGGTTTATCCCTTGAGGTCCACGTGACGTGGTGAGGTGGTGCTCACTCCTGACCCCTGCCACATGGACCCAAGGGATAAACCATCAACCCTGCTCAATGGTCAACTTTCCTCACCCATTAAGACAGTGGGAGGGTTAAACTGAACAATCAAAAAACTTGGGAATTGTAGCTGGCAAAGGTCATTCCCAAAAGATCTGAAAGCAACTATTACAATAACACTGCATGAAATAAAAGCCCCTGATCCTTTGTCTGGGTCAGGAGGGGTCACAACGGGAGCATCCGTAATGTCAAACAGGTGGTCTCAATGTTCCGGTTGATTTGTGCTGGTCAGAAAACTATGTCCTCTCTCCACATTCCCCAAAGGTGTCTTGTGACTCTATTTAGCTTTGAATCCTCATTTCCACCATGGAGCATTTTATGTCCCTGAAGGTTTAACGGGATGATCTAAAACACACGGTTCATTCTCGTCAAGATGAAAACAAGAGCGTTGACTTCAGGGGAAGTTCTGGATGTGTGCTCTTACTGGACATCAACAATATGAATCGAGTGTATAAACAAGATTAATAAATGAGCTTTCAGCTCAGGTA